AAAAAAAAAAAAAAAATCGTGTAGACTTTACCAAGGTGGTGACGGGGCTGGATGTGGTCATCCCTGAAAGATAAGGACCTTCTAGAGGGCGCCCGGAAGAACCCAAAGTAGGGTGGGTAGTTACGGATTCCTGAGATTTGGAGGGGGTTGGATGAGAAGGGAGGTTCCTCCACGCTTCAGAAACTGAACTTCACAAGCACGAGGGGCGAGGACAAGTCCAGCTCGGTCCTGCACATGTGCCGTCAGTTGCTGGAAACCCTTCCCATCTACGGGACCCTTGTGGGCACTGCACCAGGTCACAGGACCAGGTTCAGTGCGTCCAAAAGCAGGAAAGGGGTAGGAAATCGGGAGTCCGCCATGGTCGGGGAGGGAAGGGAGGAGAACGAAAAAAGGCAGAGGCAGGACCCGAAAGTGCACAGGGGCGTGCCCGGGATGCAGCCCAATGGACAGAAGAGTGACCACTAGGCCGCCCAGCGGGGCGCATAAAACGTCCCCCGGAAGCCCTGCACACTCTAGTCTTGGCTGTTCCGTCCAAGAAGTAGGCATCATCGGCCCAACAGCACGATACTACACAACAGAATGACCACCTCCACCTGACCCTCAGGCGGGTAAGCTACGTGACTACCGGCACCGCCCCGCAGAACAAGACACACCCACTTCTGAGAGAACCTAAAAGGCCGCGGTTGGTCACGTGACTCAAAACGCACGCTGATTGGCCAAGGCTGGTGACGCACCTGAACGCCCGGATAAGGAAATAGAGCGCGGCCAGGCCGCAGAGGCCAGTGAGCACGTACAAGGAGCGCAGCAGCGGTGAGCCCGGCGTCCCTGGGAAACGCGCGTGCGTACTGTTGTGCAGCGCGCCCGGCTGACTCCCGTTCGTTACGGCGGGCGGCGGCGAGAGAGTGGGCTGCGTGAGACGCGGCGGCGGGGACGCGACCTCCTTAGCCCCGTACAGCAGCAGCAGCTCCGGTAGTAGTAGCAGGAGCACCCGGAGCGGCCGCAGCACCACGCGTGGCCCCATTGCCCGGCGGAAGCGATGGCGGCGCCCCGCCCCCGTGCCCGGCTGTCACTCAGGCGCGCGGGAGCAGCCCAAACCAATGAGACACGGGGGCAGGGCTTGGTACCCAGAAATATCTCCGGTACTGGCTGAGGGAAAATCGCTACCCACAGTACCCTGCGGGCCGCGGCGCCTCAGTTTCGTGGTCCCGGCCCTTGGTTTGTTGCGCGTGCTAAGGGATTCTTTTCAGCCGGCAGGCAGGGTACCGAGATGGGTGGCCAAAGCCCCAAGAGCGTCCTTAGGGACCCCAGGTCCCCAGAGACTCTCTGGCTCACCTCCCCACCCCCCGCCCCCCGGGCTGCGAGTGTGGGAGTTCCTGCCCTGCCCCTCCCCCAAGCTCAGTCCTGAGGCCGCCAGGCTGAGGCAGCCTTACCCATCCTGAGACGCCCGGTTTACAGTGTTGCCCGCCCCCTGCAACACGGCGTGAAAAATGGAATGACTGTGTAGTCATTTTTGTTGTGGTCCAGCTCCTGCTATGAACCACCGAGATCCCAGAGGTATTTCCAGATGGGTCCTCCTTGCGCTGCTCAAGGGTCAGGAGCCCGCCCTCAACAGCCTCACACCAAACCACAGACTCAGCTTTCTGGCTGTACACAATCAACCCTTTATTAAATCCAACTTTCCACGTTTTCACACTGTTTCAGGCAAGGATTGACCGCCGTGCAAGCCGCCAGCACCGTGGTCTGTCCTGTCCTTCGGAGGATGACCTAAGTCCTGTAGCCTGAATCCCATCAAGGAAGCACCTACTGGAATGAGGAGGAAGAGTAAGGAGAAAGAACAGAGCCTGGCTCCAGAAGGAACCATGTGCCATCCTCCTAGTGGGGGGCGCCTTGGGTCATGTAGGTATAGCAGAGGTTACTGGGAATGAAGAGATAGAGGAATACAGGGATCCAAAAGCACTTAACAGGAAACAAACCTGGAAGGCAAGCCGCTGCATCTCCACTCTTTGGGTGAAGTCATTCCAGGGACAGTGACTCTGAGATCATTGCTGCTCTTGGGCCATTCTTCCCTGTGTCCAGGCTGGGTCCCCTTCAACCTGCCAAAGTAAAGAAGTGTTATTCCTGATGTCCTTGCTGGGATTTGCAGCTGCCCCCCAACCTCCCTGGAAACCATCCACAGCTCCCATGAGGGTCTCAAGCTAGTCATGGGGCCGTGACATCAGAGGCACCGTCAGAGGCCAGCATGCCCAGGGCGGGCCTGTGCCTTGAAATGTAGCCAGAGCCACATTCCCATAGGCAGAGACAGCTACTCACTCGAGATTGAGCTGCTTAGAGACTGGTGGGCTCTGGAAAAAACTAATGGTGGCAACAGATATCAGAGAAAGCTAGTTAGGTACTTGACTTAAAGAGGTCTGGAAAAGACTGTCAATTGATGAACAAAAAATCCAAAAGGCAGGGTGTTCGGTGGTCTCCAATCCTGCTTAAGGGATGGTACCTATGAGCAAGGTTTGACTGTGCCTAAGGCCACTTGCCTGGCAAAAGGCAGGGAAGAGCAAACAACTGGGCCTGCCTTTAGTTATAGCTTGATTTAAAAAAAAGAAAAAAAGTCAAAGGCACATTCCCCGGGTACGTTAGTTTCAAATGAGCTCTCAACAAGAGGGATGTGGACACGAGCGAAAGGCGTTACCTCGAATTACAGGGCTATTTCCACATATGAGCTAGCCAAGGGAGCGGCTTGCATCTCAGAGGTTTCTGTTGGGCGCACAACACTTCTGTCCTCCGAGGGCTGCAGCTTCCATAGGCTAGCAGAGAACGCTCAGAACTTGTGAAGCAAGAGCAAAACTAGCTAACAAGCTGGTCAGTCTGTGGTCACCCAGGGACACATGTGCCCTCCACTCTCTAGCCTGCTGCTAAACTAAAGCCCTCAAGGTCAGTGTCAGGTGTGTCCAAGCATCCACTGTCCCTGCTAAGCTGCCAGTCCTGTCAAGCCCTCTGGCTGCCACTGCCAGAAGTCTCCCAGGGCTGCTCTATCATCTGAGTTGCCCACACCCATCACCCACCTCGCTCACCTAAGGGGATGGTGCAGTCAGCTGTTCACAATGCCCGACCCATATCAGTTTGCTCTGCCTTCCTCTAGCTCTCCGCAGGCCTCACGTAGGACTCACAAACCTACTACTCCTTAAACTGCTCTCTGCTCAGGTCTGACTGCAAGAGCCCAGCAGGGACTGTGTTGTGCAATGAAAGGGAAATTGTCAGAGCAAGGTTCATTTCACACAGTCTTTTAATCAGCTTCGTAAAGCCAAAGAAAACTGCATACAAGAATTCCTTAGCCACTGCAAATACAACATCGATGAAGTATGCATATGTCTTCCAGTAAAAAAGGACAATATAAATAAACATCTTCAAGAACCTCTTGGGGGACATCTGCACGTCTACTGCAGGGCACACACAGCACAGATGGGCAGATGGGCTGGGCAGCCTCTGCTGCAGCCCCAATGGTGTCCTACCATGCTACATTCAGAAACATTATAGAGAGTTGGAAACAAGCCACAGCTTGCTCAGCTTCCGACAAAGAGCACATTCAATTTGATCTCAGACACAAGTGAATGGGGTACCCAACTTCATGGGGCTAACCCCACTAAAAAGAAAAAAGGCAACACAAAAAAGAACCCCCAACACCCCCCAAACCCCTGACAATTTAGGAACTCATGGCTCATAGTAAAAAGAAAAAAGTAAATCTTAAGTGCTTTTCAACTCTTGGAAAACCCTTAAAAATGGACAGCACTTCCTTAAATAGAAAAGTCTTAACAATGAGGCCATCTTGGGGGTCAGAAGCAGTCAGGCTGGGTTTGACAAGATCAGAACTGAAACGACTACAAAAGTGGGAATACAAGGAGGTGTGTTCACTACACATTAACGATTCAGCGAAGCTCCCAAAATCTTTAAATATACAGCCATTGGAAGGACGATCTTGAGCAGGAAGGATTTTTACTCGTTGTGTGTAGCTGAGGACAAGAAGCAGGTACAGTGTAAAGGCACTGAAGCACGCAAAAGACGTAGCATTTCACTCCCAAGTCCAGATCTGGAGGGCTGGGCCCTGTAGCCTTGGGAGCAACCAACCCCCCCATAGTCGAGGGAGGCCATGACCAGCAGCCACACATGCACCTATGCTGGAATGCTGAGCAGGTCCCTGCTTTCCCTTTCCTTTTTGGTCAGTTTGATTTGGCTCTTATGTTCTGTGATAGAAATGGCTCTGAGAGAACAGACTTGTTCCTTATGGGCAAACACAGTGACAAAGTCTGAGCATCCAGCCTAAGTTGCTCGCAGAGGACTCCAGGTGCACTGAGCTCCCACAGCTGACCATGACAACGTGGCACCCTTGGAGCGTAACTTACCATAACTGTCATAGCTGTCTCTGTAGGATCCACCTGAGCTCCGGTCACCGTAGCCACCACCCTGATTCCGGCTGCAGAAGGACAGACGTGAGTGCTGTAGAGTACCTGTCTACTAATGCAATTCCTGAGGCAGGTTGAGCTACCAGCACTCATGCCAACAGACTTGTCATGGGGATGGAACAAGCACTGCAGCAGGGTAGATTATAGGAAATCATCAAAAATCACCACTCTTGGTGCCCTGCCTGCCCTTCCCCTTCTGTGACTGTACTCCTAAACAGCCCCCTCTACTGCCTGCCACCTCCACATCTAGCCGTTCTCCTCTCACCCGGGAAGAGCCCTCCCAGGGACCTTAGACAAGATTCAGCAATCCCCCACCCACCTTATATCCAGGCTGTCTCTACCTTCCTCCCCTCACCTGCTGTAGTAGTCTCTGGAGCCTCCGTAGCCCCCACTCCTAGATTCAAACCGGCTTCCCCCATAGCCTCGGTCCCCTCCTCCTCCTGCAAGCAGGGACAGAAAGGAGAAATGACTATCACCACCTCCTGCAAGCAGTATTTCCACTGCATGCCCAAGGGCCCACCTCATGGCACTCACCTCTGGAGAACCCGCGGCCTCGGCCTCTGCCGCCACGGAAGAAACCTCGGCCCCCAGCAGAGCCACCTCGGTACCCACGGGATCGATTGTCAGATGACTTGCCTGCCTGGTCAACTCGAATCTGTCGCCCATCTACAGACTGGAGACCAGAGGTTTGGTACACGTTAGCTTCTGAACTGTCCCATCCCTAAGGGGAGCTCATACTCTGCAACCCCAGACCCTTACCTTCCCATTCATGGCCATCATGGCATCCTTGGCGTCATCAATGTTCTCAAAGGTGACAAACCCAAACCCCCGAGATCGCTGGGTCTCTCTATCTTTGACGACCACCACTGTGCAGGGCAAAAAGGGCTGCAGTCAGCACCCAGTTATTCACATAATTGGAACGAGGACAGGCCAGCCCTATTCAGCCACCAGCCCAGCACCAACCTCACCTTCAGAGATCTGTCCATATTTTGAGAAGACTTGCTCGAGTGATTGCTCATTGGTATCAAAACTCAGCCCTCCGATGAAAAGCTTGCCTTCATCTGATGCCATGGTGGCCTAAGGCAAACACCAGAGAAGTCCTTAATGAGCTTCACTTCTCACCACCTCCCCTGCCATATTTTACACTGGAAATGACAAATGCTATTTAGGGGAAATACTGGAAAATTATTTTACTTTTCTTTGTTCCAAGACAGTCTCAATCTGTTGTCCCAGGCCAGAATGCCGTGGTGTCAGCCTAGTTCACACTAATCTCAAACACCTGGGTTTAAGCAATCCTCCTGCCTCAGCCTCCCAAGTATCTGGGACTAAGGCACCTACCATAACTGCCCAAAAGTTTTTCTTTTTTGAAGAAAAACTTTCTTGGTACGGTGCTGTGGCATCATAGCTCACAGCAACCTCAAACTCTTGGGCTTACATGATTCTCTTGCCTTAGCTTGCCAAGTAGCTGGGGCTACAGGCACCTGCCACAATGTCTAGTTATTTTGAGAGATGCAGTCTTGCTCTGAGCTCAGGTAATCTATCCACTTTGGCCTCCTAGTAATTTTTTCTATTTTTAGTGGAGAGGGAGTCTTCTTGCTTAGAGTAGTCTGGAACTCCTGAGCTCAAGGTTATCCTCTCACCTAGGCATCCCAGAGTACTGGGATAGTGTGAGCCATGTCACCAGTCCTTTATTTCTGTTTTATTATCCTAAACTCACAGCTAAGACTTCTTTTTTTTTTGAGACAGAGCCTCAAGCTGTTCCCCTGGGTAGCGTGCTGTGGCATCACAGCTCACAGCAACCTCCAACTCCTGGGCTCAAGCTAGTCTCCTGCCTCCGCCTGCCAAGTTGTTGGGACTACAGGCACCCGCCACAACGCCCGGCTATTTTTTGGTTGCAGCCGTCATTGTTGTTTGGCCGGGAGGGGCTGGATTCGAACCTGCCACCTTAGGTATATATGGCTGGCACCTTAGCCGCTTGAGCCACAGGTGCCGAGGAAGACTTCTTAATTTAAATAAAACAGTTTATTACCCTGGACTGCTAGTTCTCAAGTGGTCCAGTTCCATCCACCTCCCAGACTTAGGGCAGGCCCACACTTCCTCCCATTGTCTTTCCTTAGGTATTGCCTGGGGCAGTACAGGGAATCCTAGGTCTCCCCTTAAAGCCTCTGCCTGGGCTGACCTGGTCGTCTTAGTTGGCTCACCCAGAGTGCTCTGGTGGGACTGCATCTTGTTTCTTCCCCTCCGAAACAGGGGGGAGAACTGTCCTAACCACTTGACATCTACTGGCTGCTGGACAGGAAGATACTCGTTTTCTGTAAATGCCTTCTAAGAGTGACTGGGGACCAGGAACAGGCATTGGCTGTCAGGGAGGCCTCCCAATCTTAGAGGGACACCTCTGGCCACACACGAATTTATAAACAAGACTTTAGCTGGGATCAGGAAGGGATGGCCCAGAGGCGATGATGTCCGAGGGAAACCTGGTATTAGAAGGGACTACTAAAGGGGGCGGGGCGGCATGCTGACAGACAAAGCACTTACTGGCAGGGAACGACCACCACCAAAGGGCTCCGGAAACGAAGTCCAGAACTCGGTTAGGAAGCCGTGCACTGGGGGCTGTGCCAACTGGGGTACCCTTAGGGCGTAAAGCATGACGTGGCAAAGTGGGAAACACAGTAGAACTGTGTGACTGCTCGGTCGGGGATTTGTGAGGGCATCCAGTGGCTCAATCAATCCCAACTGGGAAAACGGGGAAACTGATACTCCCAGCCTCACGGTCGGAAAACGAGTCCTGGAGACCCGGCGCACCACGTGGCCCCGTCCGGGCCCCGCCCCCGCCGCGCGCGCAAGCGCCTAGCGCGCTCCCTGCGCCACTCCATCCGGGCACTCGACGATCCCGCCATTTCGCTGGGCACAACCTGGAGCTCACGGCCGCCATTTTGCGGCAGCACCCCGCTTGCCGGAGGCCCGGGACTGCGGCGGGACGCCCTCTGGCCACTGCTTGGCCCAGTCTCCCGCTGCCCCTCGCCGCCGGCGGGGCGGACTCCACCCAGGGCCCGCCCCGGCACCGCCCCCTCCCAGGGGCGTGCCGCCGCGGCCCCGCCTTGTCTGGCCGCCACAGGCCGCCCGCCGTCCCGGGCTCCTCAGAGCCGGTGCCGCCAGGGCCCTCACCACTGAGTCGGGCAGTCCCTGGCGCAGGCGGGAAGACGGCACAGCACAACGACCTGAGCCTCCTAACGCGCGAGAGAAGTGGGGGCGCCCGGGCGTCTGGCCTTATATACCCATTCTCATAGCTCCGCCCCCTATGGCTGGCCCCTGCGATAAGCGGACCAATCAGCGGTCCCAAAGGCCGCTTCCACGCCTGATATTTATGAGCTGAGGGCCGGGCTTGTCCGGGTTCCGCTCCCTCCCGGGCTCTGGCCCTGGTCGTCGTGATTGGCTGGGACATTCCCCAGTCCGCAGTCCCAATTCGCAAGGACTGGGGCGTGGCTGACCCACTTCCGCATGCCCGCCCTCTTGCCTTCGGCGTGCAACAAAGGGGCCTCTACCCTTTGGTTTGTGGGGCCTCTGGCCTTGTGCAGTCCTCTGAGTGTCGCTGGAACTTCTTCCTGGGCTCCACCAATTCTGAGTATCAAGCTCGCGCAGGTCCTTATACCCGCCTAGCCCTGCCTTTCAGACACCCCAAATTCTTCTGAACCCGGATATCAGTCCTGATATACTTGGCAGCATAACCAAAATCCCACTGCCTTCAGCACCCCAATATTCCATGCCATCAATCCCTATGCCCACCCAAACTCCAACACTGAGACACCATTTATGTGAACCCCATATTCACAATTCCACTTCTTCCTACTTCCCAACACTTTGGTGCACCCCAACTTTACCCAACCCAATTTGTTTACCTACAAACTGTGGTTCATACACACACCTAACTCCTACCCGAATCCCAACTTCACCTCTGCTGGGTGCATCACCCACACCTTGAAATTCATTTGGCTGAATAGTGTGCATCCCAGCTCTAGACGGCAGGCAGACATCACCTGGATACTCAGCTCAACCCTCCAAGTTCCCATTGCACCGTAACAGCTGAGCCTTGGATCTCAGTTTCCACCAAGCTTCATACCCACAGCCCACCCACCCACTGTGGGGCCACACCTCTCTTCTCCACCTGGGTCTTGTCTTTCCAAAGGCATCTTTTGCTGAGTCCAGTTCTATCAGGAGAACCAGCTTTGCAGCAACCCTCACCCCCAAAGTAGTCCCCAGGGGTTCCAAGGCCTTTAGGAGCTCTTCTCTGTGGCTGACACCTGCTCTTTGCTCAGGCCCCAAGTCATGCTGGGGCCCCTTTCCCTCTCCCTGGGCCCTAGTGAAGCAGCTTTGGTGGACCCCTGCTTGCCCAGACTCCAGGCACAGCTCTGACCCCAGAAAGTCCTCAAGAGCTGACCCTCTGCAGACAAGTTGGGAGTTGGGGCACAGAGATCCCGTTTGTGCTGCAGACTCCAGAGAATTCCAGGCCCACTCCAGGCATCGAACACTCTCCAGTGACAAGGTCTTCCGGACCCCCTCATGGCCTCAAGGACCCTTCCCCCAGGCAGAAGCTGTGTGACTAATTGCCACCCCCTCTGCGCTTAGTCCAGCCCTCATTCCCCACCAGTAACAGCCTGCTGCGTCAGCCACTCCCGCAGGGTGGTTATTAAAAGGAGTGGAAAGAGACAGCAACAGTACTCAGCTTCCCTGCCCCCTGTCGTCCTGCGGGGAAGGCGGGCACCCACCCGGCGCTGGAGCAGGTCAGGCCCACTCTATCTGATCTCTACAGAGTCGGCTCAGGGGTCCCTGTAGTCATAGACACCTCTGGATCAGTTTTGCCACCAATCTCTGTTGTTCTTGGTTCTGTGAGTCTCTGCCTCTTCCTGCATATGACGTGCCTTATGTTCATTCACTCATTCCGCCAGCACCTAGTTATTAGGCATGCTGTTCCTGTGTACCGGGCTCTGTGAGCGCCCACGGCCATCCTGGGTTCCCAGGGTGGTGGAACTGACACACCTGCCGGACCTGTGGTTGTCTACATCTGTACCCGGCCAGAGCGTAGGTGTCTTAGGTGTGTACTTGTGTCTCTTTGGTTACCCGGGTCTGCGTGTACCTGTGACTCTGCCTCTAGACATGCCCCTGTGTTCCCTTAGGGCTCTCAAGAGAGAGGCAAGACCTCCTTCATCCACCCCTACTGAGGCCGCCCCAATCATGCGAAACACCGGCCAGGGCGCGCCGCCCTGAGCGGACACGAGGGGGCACTGCGGCCTCGCTCTGTCACCCTGGCTGTTGTTGCCTCTGGGTCAAGCGCGCGGGCTCCAAGTTCCGCCCAGCCGCCAGCTGCGTGGCCCCGCGTGGGAGAGATGAACCTCCTGCAGCCCTTGGCTCTTGCCAGCCCCTCACGCCCACCGCGCGGGGCCTGGTCGTGCAGGTTGAGGACATAGCTGGGCGTTTCGACCCTCAGCCTCGCTCGCCACCCCCAGCCCGCCCCGCGCCCTTGCTTTGGCGGTGGCGTGGGAGGAGGGGACTCAAAATAGCCGCGCGGGGGCGAGGTTGCTATTCTGGGCCCGATGCGCGACGCTGCCCCTGGCCAGTGGAGATACGGGTTCAGCCTGAGCCTTCCATTCCAGCGTCTCTCGGTCTTGGCGTCCAGCTATCTATATCTTGGGTCCCGTAGACTCATTCACAAATTTGCCCCCTCCCAGTTGGCTGTCTTAGACTGACACCCGCCTCCTGAAAGCCCCTGACCTGGGCGCCCCACTTCTCCCCTCACGCGGTGCTGTCGCCATGGAGAAGGCAGCTGGACCACTTCGCTCCAGTGCCGCCCACTCTGTCCTTCCCTTGGGGCCCGGCCTGTCGGACTCTGGGTCCTCCCCCGACCCCAGCTAATTACTAAGCGGGAGGCGGTAATGAGCGTCTAGGCCCAGGACGGGCGTGGCCACGGATGAAAGACGCGTGTGTGTGGGGGTACCCAGGGTCGCATAATTACTGCCCCATCCGGGCCAGGCGGACGGTGCACCTGGCGGCGGCCCCTGGGGTAAGGCTTGCGGAAGTGGGATCGCCCAGCTGGCCCAAATTGGCTGGGCCCAGAGCCAGGGTGGGGGGATGCTGAGCCTGGGCATGCATGTTTGCCAGGCGTGTTGCACATGTTCGCTGGTAGGCTGGGGACTCATGGATACAGAGATGGAATCCCGAAGATTACCAGAGACACATGCTTGTGTGAATACAAAGTGGCGCTGTGTGTGTGTGTGTGTGTGTGCGCGCGCGCACACACACACACACACACACACAAAGAATGTGCATGGCACTGTGTATACAACACAAGGACGCTGGAGCCCAGACTTCAAAGAGTGCATAATCTGGATGTAGATATTGGGAGCAGCCAGGGACAGGGTGTGCGTGACTCCGGTGGGCTGGGCCTCGAAGAGCGTATGTGCCCATGCTTGGTGGCGTGACTCATGTCTCTGGGGCAGGGATTCCAGCTGTCAACAGTAGCCATGGCCTCCCAGTCTCCCAGTACAGACCAGAGTCAGAGGGCCAAAAGCCTGGGGAGAAAGGGTTACCTGCCCCTGCCCCCATCTGTGCCCAGAGGTGGGGGTCCCAGTCCCCAGGTATGAGATGCAGCTGTACCCTAACCTTAGTTTTTCTCCTACTCCTAAGGAGAGGGTCCCCTGGAGGTCATGCAGCAAGGTGTGCAGGGTGTGCAGTGAGGGGGGCTCCAGGCTGGGCCTGTTCTCTTCCCTGTGACTCACCCACTCCCCACAGACCTGAGTCACAGCTCAGGAATGTGGAGGCTGCAGAAGCCCCATCTGATCCTGCCCAGGCTAGGCTGTCCCAACAGCTCAAAGTCCAGGCTTGGACTAAGAGAGGCACTCCAGCACTCACATCCTGCACCATGCCACATATACGTGCACACACCCTCACCCCCACCCCACAACATATCCACAAGACACACACAAACACAATGAGCTCAGCATCCTGCAGCTCTTGGACACTGTGTGGAGTGACTGCCCTCCCTGACACTGAATAGGCATGGTGACAAATAAGCTGTGGACAGGACCCAGACAAGGCACAGTGACACAAACCAAGTGGTGAGTTCCTAGGCCCCATACCTTCCCCTGGTGTCACATACCTGTTTGCTTGTTTGGACTGACTCTGCAAAGAGAACCAGATGGTAACCCTTTCTGCTGAGGCACAAGAGGCCAGCACTCACTGGAAACATTCCATACCAGGATATGACACATTATTAGGTGTCTGTGAAATGCCACAGACCCTGAAAGCTGGTGGAAAACTCTAAAACTGGCCTAAGTGGCTCACCTGTTTGGGGGCCAGGGATGTAGCCACTAGGTTTTTGAAACTGGGGAAGGGGCAGCATCCAGAGCCCTCACCTTCAGGAGCAGGAGCCCACCCCCACTCCCCACCTAGGCCATGTCCACTCACTCAACCATGGGGTCCCATACCTGGCTGAGGCTCCACATGCAGGGGTCACCCACATGGTGGTTCCCCGTAGCTATGTAGGACTGTCTGGGTTTTTTTTTTTTAAAGAGCTACAGGTAGAAGTCTGTGGGGTTTTGCTCATCTTCTCAGAGGGTTGAGTGGGTAGCATCCTGGGCATGGATTGAGTGTGATGAGGTGCAGGCAGCTATCCCTGTCTGCCTTAGGGGTGACTGCCTCCTCCGTGGAGGCCAGCCCTGCCTACATTCCAGAAGGGCTAAGAGTGCCCTCCTTCTTGCTCCCCAATCTCTGACCCACTCACCCTCCCCCACCTGGAGCATCCAAGGCAGTAGCTGTGCTCTAGGGAGGGGCTGTAAGGTGGGGGAGGAGACTGGGATGTGTGTTGGGGGGTGAGGGAGGGGCCCTAGAAGGTGGCCAGGCCAAGGGGGAGCAGCCAGCAGGCAAGAGCCAGTGGTACAGGGTAAGAAGTTATGGGGACAGAGACAGAAAGGCTGGAGAGCTGAGAAGGCCAGAGAAGAGAAACAGAGAGGAAAAACAGAAAGTGGAGGAAAACAGAGGTAGGCACTGGCTGGCCAGGCCCTCCAGGCCACAAGTGACCCTTCCTCCATCCCTTAGCCAGGCTGCTTCCCATCCCAAGTGACACCGGAGTCTGCCAGTTTTCTGGCCTACTATGGCCAGAGGGGTGGAGCTGGAGTACAGGCTCCTGGGTTGGGCCCTGAAGCCATTGGCCTCAGGGTGGTGACCTCCCCAGCCTCCATCAAGGTAACTCCCATTGCTATGGCACCTGGAGAGGAGGGTGGGCTGAGCCTGGCCCAGAGAGGGTGGTTGTACCTAGGCACTGGTTCAATCCTATCTCCCAGTGGCTTCTGGCTGGGACCCACCTTATGCCACCCCTCTACTGGCCATAGTCTTTGGCATTTGAGAACCTTTGAGTGAGCTCTAAGCACTCACTGGGCCACCACCCTGGGGACACCGGCCTCAAGCAGAAAGCTGTGACCCTTAGTGACCTTCTCCAGCCTGCCCACAGCTGCCTCAGCAGGGAGGAGCACTGCCCACCTGTGAGGTCACTTCCCTGGCTCAGGCCTCCAGTATAGGCTTACACCTTGGTGCCCCTGCCCTGTCTCACCCTCTTGAAGCTAGCCTAGGACCAAAGGTTTTGGCTAACACCTCCCAATATGGCAAATGCCTGCCCCTATTCACTCTGACCACTGTCTTCTGAGTGGACACCTGTTCCGAGTCAACACTGGACTCTCAGCCAGGCAGCTAGCAACAACCTGGAATTCCAGCCTCCTGGGTCCTCAACTTTCCCAGGATCCTGGCCAATACTCCCAGCCAAATGCTCTTACAGACATTGGAAACTCAATCCTTTCCCCAAATCTCCATGCCTCCTCGGGCCAACCACCTCCCAGTGGACTGGAAATGGCCTTCAGGGCATGTCCTGGGCTCTCAGTTACACAAGCCTCAGTTCCTTTCCCCCTCCAAAGCCCCCAGGGTGCCCATCATCCCTTCTCTCAATCCCAGGCTAGGTGTCGACACCTCCAACCTCCTTAGTGTTGTCCTGGCCCCTTTTCCCCCAACCTGGCCCGCCTCCCGACCTCCATCTGGGTCCTCAGACTTGGAATAACCCCTCAGACGACCTTGCCAGCCTCCCCTTCTCCTCCCCCGTAGGTATTTTTCTCCACCAACTAGACCCCCTCAGTTGCTCCCAGACGCCCGCGCTTTCAGGTTTCCGGGCCTTTGCTCATGCTGCGCCCCCCACCCCCGCCTGGAGCACTTTTTCCCTCTGCCTACAACTTTCGGCGAACTTTTATGCCTAGGGTAAAGCTTCAGCCCCATCGTGTCCGCCTTATGATCGCCAGCCTGAGCGCCTCTCCTCCTCCAGCCGGGGAGGCTACAGGACCGCTGGATCGCGCGGTCCGGCCCTCGAGGTCTTGGGGGTAGAGGGACAGCAGGAAATGCGTGGGCGTGGGCGTGGGAGGCGGTTGCACGCGAACGTGCCAGGGGTCCACGTGTGTCGCCCCCTTTTCCCTCCAGCCCAGGTATCCCAGTCAGCCCGGCGGCCGCGTCTTCCGCCCCCACGTGTGCAGACGCGCGCAGAGCGGGGCGGAGCCGCGGCGCCTCCGCACTTGCTCTAGCTCACTCAGCCCGAGACCCGCCTCCGGGGGGCCACCTGGCGCTGCTATTGGTGCCAGCAGATGAGCGAGCGGTATGGCCACCAGTGGAGCTGCCCGGGACCGTGGACAAGGCCTGGGTGGTCCAAAGCACGCCAGCGGGGGCGGGTGAGGTGCCCTCCCCGCAGTGACGTCAGGCTCCTTTCACTGAGCGTTGCCCTGGAAACAGCTTTTTCATCTCTTCGGGTTTCCGGGGGCCGCCCCCTCCCATTCAGCTTTTGCCTCAATGTGGGGAGGGATTAGTGCAGGGACATCCTGTCCCTTTCGACCCCATTGGCCTCCTTCCTCTTTGCACCTCAGTTTACCTTTCTGTGCCTCCACCAGCCGCCCCTCCGCCTGCTGAGTCCTTTGATGGGCAAAGCCACCAGGGCAGGGACCCAAGCTCCACCCTATGTCCCCACCCCTCAGAGCACAGCCGCGACCTCCTCGGACCCCCCAGGCTAGAGTGGGCAGCTGGCTTAGGGGCGGGGTTCCCTCCCTGCGGGGTGCAGACACTGCCCCTGTGATTCAGCAGGTGCGGCACAGATCCTACTTCCTCACCCCACACAGCCAAGGGAGGGGACGGTGACCTTGGTCCCGCAGGCATCAGCCTTGACCCACAGGGTCTGGAGCTGCAAGTGACCTGCTCTCTAGACCACGCTGGGCATTTGCACCCGCTGACACTGAGGCCTGAAAGGGCCTTCCTGCCGTGGGCGTGGGATGATTTGGGGTTGATTGGGTGTTGGGAGGGGCAGAGGTGCCTCAGAAAGACGCCCACAGGCCACCCTTCGGGGGAGACCTGTCCCCTGCGCCTTAGGGACCTGGTACTGGGGCTTGGAAAGGTAGAGACTCTAGTCATCACAGGTCAGATGAGGGGCAGCGGTCACATCATTTAACAAACACCCCTAATCCCCTGGGCCAAGTGATGTTTCTCTTAGGGCCTGTTTTCTCATCTGTAAAATGGGAGTATAATTACTTCTAACTTTTAGGTTGCAGTGCCTAATTGAGAAAATACATGTTTTTTAAAAAGGGAATATTAACTGGTAGTATGGCTGTTGTCACATCTCTATGAAGCCCCAAAGTGGACGGTGAGACCAACCGTGGCTGGACCCTTGGGGAGCCCTTGACTGTGTAGGGTCCCAGGAAAGGGCGGGGTCTGGGCGATCCAGGGCGTGCAGGGGTGGGAAGTTCCCAAGCAGAAAAGGCGGGGCCGGGAGAGGGGCGTTGCAGGAGGGGGCAAGGCTGGGGCAAAGGCCTGGAGGCTGATGCTAAACCGTCCAGGCTGGGGAGTGGGGAGCGCAGGAATGCAAAGCAGGGCGTGGCTGAAGAGGGGCCGCGAGAGAGGTCACTCGGGGCTGGCCCTGTGATCTCCTGGGAGCAAACCGAACTTGCTTGCTCCAGGAAGATGGGACTCCAGGAAGAACCCCGCGGGTGGGCAGGCAGGCGGGTGAGTCTGGCAAGGTTGGAGCCGCCTCCCAGCCGCTGAGCGGGTGGTCTGATCTCCCGCAGTCCCAGGTCCTCGACCCACAGCCCACTTCACAGGGCCAGGAACAGGCGGGGTGATGACTGCCGAACACACAGCACCCGGCAAGCCCTGAGGGACTTCCGGCCTCGGGTACCAGGAAGTGGCTGGGCTCCTCTTTCTCCCGCCTTGGCAGCTTCCTGCCCACCCCACAAGCTGGGAAGAGGGCGTGGGAACTGCCCAGGGTCTAGGTCCTGGTCCCCGGACATGGGCACCTCCTTGACCTTCATTCCATCCCACGCTCACGCTCTACAATGACCAAGTGTGGGGAGAGCCTCCCCCCCCCCAGGTGAGAGGCGGAACACCCGCTTGTTTCATTTTCTGTTTATTACTTGAAATCACGGTGCTTGTATAGGTTCTTTTTTCTTTTTCGATTTCATTACAGGAAGCTCACGCGAGGTGGTGGGACCCCACAGTCCGACCCCGAAAGTGAGTAATGCTTTCTTGGAGGGCCCTGACCGAGCTGAGGACAACCGGCTGGTTCTGCCTGGGACCTCCACCCCCAACCGTGGAGGCACAGACGTAATTTAAAAATCATTAAAAAACAGAACACACATTTAAATAGGTATCCAAGACAGTTCTTCAAAAAACAAGCCCACCCCTTTTCTTTTTTTCCTATTTTTCTTTTTCTTTTTTTTTTGAAAAACAAAAAACCCAAATCCTCTTGACCTCTACCCTCTGGGATCCCTCCCTACCCACCCCCCCCACAAAAAAATTTTACAGAGCTACAATTATAACACATGATGTTCACATCAGAAACCATTAACTTTAAACACATAATGGGGGCATGAGGACCTGGGGTTCACCTACAAGGGGGGGACAGGCAGGGCCAGAACAAGACTGACAGGTAGGTGGGGCAGGGCTTAAACATCTCCATAATCTTTAAAAAATAAAAAGTGAATGGGGAAAAAAAATCCGAACTCTACCCCCATTGAAATGGCCCTGGCAGGTTGTTGTCCTTCTGTTGGGGCCACAGAACCCCTCCCCTGCCAGAGCATGGGCACTGAGTGGGGAAGAGTCCAAATTAGACCAGCAGTGCCTCCCCCCCCCCCCCCCGGGAATTAATGCTACACAGCGTTGCTCCTACCCAGGGGATTCACAGCTCAACACCTCCTGGCCCATCTGACTGCAGAGGATGCCCCAGACAGTCCATGATCCCTCAGGTTGGAGCAGGAAGGAGGGCAGGGGTAGCCTCCCCAGCCTTGGCCATTATCTCCCAGGTTTTCAAGAGATTCCCAACCACTATTGGCTCAGTCAGAAAATTAATAGTCTATAAATACCCCAAGCTCAGGCAGGAGGTAAGGAAAAACCAGGGGTGGGGGCAGAAGGAAATAGCACGGTGGTGGTGGCAGCAGCTTGGTGGCCCTGAGGGCTGGGTGCAGTGAGGGCTGTTCCCCTCACAGTAAACCCAAGGCAGCCCCCCCTGACCAGCCACCCTCTCTGCTAAAACAACTTTACTTTCCTTTTTAAAGGAAAAAAAAAGGAAAATGAAGAGACCCAGAAAACAGATTAGAAATGGAAAACGGTCCCCTAGTCAACTATGGGGGACACAGCTGGTGTAGGGTGGGGGCCAGAAGTCTGCAGGGAGTGTGTGTGTGTGGGGGAGGGGTAAGGTGAGGGGTTGGGATGGGGTCCTCCTCTCTGGGGCCCCCTCCCTGGTCTGTAAAGTGCTTCATGAGGCATCTACATTTTTGACTTAAAACCTGAATTGGGTGTTGAGGGGAGGAAGGCAGAGCGGAAGGGGGTGGGGGCGGTCTCCTCAGACTCCTGCTCTCAACCATCTGGAAAGACTGCTACATATTTGGAGCTGGGGAAGGTGGGCGGGAGGACCTGGCACACAGGCCAGGGGGAGCCCAAGGAGCCCGGGTGAAAGAAGGGGAGGAGGGGAGTGTGGGAGAAGAAGGAGGTAGGAAGCCAAGTCCATGAGAGTTGAGAGAACCATGGTAAGAAAAAAAAAACACAAAAAATAACAAGGAAAGGCTTCTGGCTGGGGGAGGGGTGGGGAAAGTGGTCGCTTGCTCTCCAGAGTTGAGCTATGTTCCCGGTGGAGTTCTTGGCGTCCCCACTGCCCTGGGCTGGGGTTTAAGGGGCAAAGGTGACTGATTCTAGGCCACCACGAACTCAGACTTGATGTCAGGGTTGACTTCTGGCTTCCAAACGGAGTCCTCGAAGTCCAGGCCCAGGCCAGCAGCCTCACTAGGGCTGTTGCCACCCCCACTGCTGCTACTTTCGCTTCGGCCAGCCTTTCGGCTTGATGGCCAGTGGTAGGGGCCCCGGGCATCACGCCGGGCCTTTCTGCGGAGCCGTTTCTGCTGCAGCAGGAGCTGCAGACGTTCCACCTTGCATCGTGTAGCGCGGTTTTCTGTCTGCCGGAGCCGGTCCCCTACAAAGGAGGTAGAGTACTATAACTTGGAGAGGCCTGAGAACAGCCTTCCTCAAACAGAGGACCCTCAGCCAATGCCTGTGGTCAGGCAAATTCCTGCTCTCCTGGATAATTGTGCCAGCAAGGGAGACAGGTAAGGGCATCCACTGCCACCTTGGGTGAGCAGCTCATGCTCTCAGACAGCTACTTCCTTATCTCCCTTATTAATGGTTTATGCTGCTTGACTGTGAGCAAGGTCAGGGCTGGCCTCTCTCAAGGAAGGCACTTCCAAAACAGGCATGGAATGAATAAACTAGATTTTTGTTTGTTTGTTTTTCCTTGAGACAAAGACAAAGTCTCACTTTGTTGCCCTTGGTAGAGTCCCATAGTATCATAGCTCACAGTAAGCTCAAACTCTTGGGCTCAAAGCAATTCTTTTACCTTAGCCTCCTGGTAGCTAGGACAACAGGTGCCCACAATGCCTGTCTATTTTGTTTTAGAGATGGGGGCCTCACTCTGGCTCAGGCTGGTCTCAAACTCCTGAGCAGAGGCAATCCACCCACCTCAGCCTCCCAGAGTGCTAGGATTACAGGCAAGAGCCACCGCGCCCAGCAATAAACTGGAATTTGAACCTGCATGCCTGCTTATGTGACTTGAGGAGGACATGTAGGCTTATGCCTTGGTTTCCCTCTTTTTTTTTTTGAGACAGTTTTACTTTGTCACCCTCAGTAGAGGGCCGTGGCGTCACAGCTCACAGCAATCGCCAACTCTTAGGCTTACGTGATTCTCTTGCCTCAGCCTCCTGAGTAGCTGGGACTACAGGTGCTGGCCACAATGCCCGGCTTTTTTTTGTTGCAGTTGTCATTGCTGTTTTAGCTGGCCGGAGCCAGGTTCAAACCTGACACCCTTGGTATATGGAGCCAGCATCCTACCCACTGAGCTACAGGCACAGCCCAGTTTCCCTCTTTTATGAATTAGGCTGTAAACCTTTTGATGGCAGTGACCACTGTCCCAGGAAACTGGATGGGGAGAAACCCGGATGTTTGGGGAGGGAGCTTCCTTGCTTTCTCCAGCCCCCTAAATGCTAGGGGTGGAGGGAGGGCTGTGGCTCCTACCCCAACTGGCCAAGCATGAGCTGGCCATTCATAGAGCCTCCAAATGCCATCTGTAGATGGTGGTGGGGGTAGGGAAGGAGGTACCAGGAGGAAGTGAGGCTCAGGGGCCCCTTGGGAATGCACAAGGACACTTTGTGCCCTGACACACATGCCTCCTTCTCTCTGGCTACAGCAGAGCAGGGGCAGAGACAGCTGCTGCTCCCCCCCAGCCTCCAGGGGGGTCAGCTGCTCCCTTGCCCAGCAGCTCACACAGAGAGCCCTTGAGAAGCCAGAGGATGGATGGGTGGGGACAGTGGGACCCTGAGGTCGGCCACTCACCCTGGGGCTTGCACATGCGGATCTGGCTCTGGCCCTGTAGCATGGAGGACTGGGGTGCTGCCAGCTTCTCACAGGAGGTAGTTTTAGATGCGAGGTCAGGGGCTGTTGCACATTGGGCATGACAGCGAAGCTGAGTCAGTGAGGGGGGCATGCCTTGGTAGTGCCTCGTGGCGCTCAGGAGGTCATTGAGGATCTGTAGGATAGTGCCAATGTCGCGCCGTGGCCGCCCACTGCTGTCCTGGCAGTTGGGGTGCAGCGTGCCTGTGAGCAGAGAAGGCTGTGAGCACCCAGTGTGTGCAGAAACACACAGACAAGGGTCTACATATGAGCTTAAGGAGCATGGTGGGCATGTAGCCTCAGATGTGCATGTGGCCTCATGCATATAGGTGGACCACTGAGTGGGACACATGCCCTTGTTTAGGGTCATACATGTGCATAGGAGATTCCTATGAGAAAGATGAAGTTATCATTTTTTTTTTTTTTTTGAGACAGAGCCTCAAGCTGTCCCCCTGGGCAGAGTGCTGTGGCATTACAGCTCACAGCAACCTCCAACTCCTGGGCTCAAGCGAGTCTCTTGCCTCCACCTCCCAAGTAGCTGGGACCACAGGCGCCCGCCACAGCGCCCGGCTATTTTTGGGTTGCAGCCATCATTGTTGTTTGGCGGGTCCGGGCTGGGGATTCGAACCCGCCACCTTAGGTGTACGTGGCTGGCGCCTTAACCGGTTGAGCTATAAGCGCCGAGCCAGATGAAGTTATCATTAAGACAAATGATCATGGATCTCCTCAGAGCACTGGTGTAATTGACCATGGGTGGACATGTGACCTAAAGTGTACAGGGTCACAGGACACTTGTAAGTGCCATAACACCTACCAGAGAAGGTCCCTGAGAAGACCCCTGGGGCATGGTTCACAAAGCTCTCAATGACAGCACCGGGTTTTCGGGATCGGGGTGTAGCGCTGCCCCCTGGGGAGGAGGTGGTGCTGGCACCAGGGCTGATACTGCTACTGACAGCGGGGGAGCAGTCCATCTGCTGACAGGGAGGAAGGAGCACATGAGTTAGGGGGCCAGGATCAGAGTGACACCACCAGCTCAGATTCTAGACAACCCATCTATCCAAAGTCAGGGGAGCCCAAGGTCTAGAGCTAACCCATCAGCCCAAAGTCAAACTATAACTTTCGATTTGAGAGATGGATTTGTGGCTCGGAGCCCTGGGGATAACCCTTTGAAAACTCACTTCAGGGCAGGTAGGAGAGGCTGCATGGGATCGAAAGGAGCCGGCTGTGACAGAAGAGGAGGAAGGGGATGGGCTGCTGGGCACTGGAAGAACTCGGGCAGCACTGGATACCGGTCGGCAGGGAGAGGACACAGGAGTGGTTATGCTGGGATCTCCTCGGGCAGCTGCGGCTGCAGCAGCTGCAGCAGCTAGTACATGGCGGTGCTGCAGGGGGGCGTGTTGGGCGGCAAGCTGCAGCTGGACGAACATCATATGGTCACCCACTCGAAGTGCCAATGTCAAAGGTGAGCGGCCTGACAGGAAGTCACTGACCTGTAGAGAGAGTAGGTCCATCAGCCCAGGTTTCAGCCTGCGTTGCCCCTAGCCCAGCCCGGCCCGGTCCCCCCAGCGCTGTGTGACCTGGGGCCTCTCGCCGCCCCTCTCTGGGCTCTGGGGTCCCTGTCGGTGCCACGGATGCTTAAATAAAATGAATCTGTATTTCCGGAAGCCTCTTCCGCCAGCCCGGCCCGGCCCGGGCGCCGCTGAGGGCTGTGGGGGACAGAGGCACGTCAGACAGGGGGCCTGGCCCTCCCTGGCCAACTTGGTTCTTTAAGGGGAAACTGAGGCAAGAGGGGGAGGGGCCCAGCTGGCAGTTACCTCAAATAATCCTCACCTCACTTTTCCCCCACCCTCTTAGGCCCCCAAATCCTCTGCCTGTGGATACAGGAGGGGGACCAATCTCAAGCCCCCTCACAAGCTAAGTCACCAGGCCATCGAGTGGGCGGAATTCCTGGACAAATTCTTCCATCCTAACCTTTGCTTTCTCAAGATAAATATTTATCTGTCCTGGGTGGAGCGGTGGCCAAGGGGGCGGCAGCTTGCTGCAGGAAGGGGGCCCTGACCAGTCAGTCCCTAGGGCTGGAATCTCCCAAGGCCTCGGCATGCCCTGATGAACATCAACCCTCCAATCATCCTCCCTCCATGGTAGGCAGGGGTGTATCTGACCCTGCACTCAGTGAACCCCTATTCTGGGGCCTGGCCAGCGCCTTGGTCTCCCCAGGGGCCAGGATGGGGGGTGGTTTCTGAGAAGTGACACAAGCTGGAATGACTCAGAACCGACCGCCTCCCAGCACTCCCTCCCAGTGCTGGGTCTGCTGGCAGTGGCTGGTGTAACCTTCTCTGCTTGGGGCCCATGGGGAGGAGAGCAAGGAGGGCAGGGTGCAGCCTCTACCCTAAGGCCCAGCCTGCACTGCCCCCTTGCCCCAGAGATACACCTCGCGGGAAGGTCTTAGGGTAGCTTCCTGAGAGCAGCTCCCCCCCCCCACCAAATGCCCGCCTGCAACTTCCTCCCTGGGGAGGGCAAATGGGCGGGTGTGACGCTATGCCAGTCAAGGAAGCAACCCTGGGGAGCCCAGTCACTCCACCCAGTGCCCCCTTCTCCTGAAGCAGGCTTGGGGAAGATGTGAACCAAATACGCCCTGGGCCTCCCTGTCAACCCTCAGTGGTAAAGAGCTCTGTTCACACTTGTTCCAGCAAATCACCTGCAGCCCCTACCTGGCTCCCTGGACCCCAGCTGTCTCAACCCCACCACAGACCACCCAGATCCCTCCCTACCCCCTCCTCTACTGCTGCTTGGGGAGGGCAGGATGCTACATGTCAGGAAGGAGGAAGGGGGCCAGGGCCTGGGGCAGAAGGAAGGGAAGAATCTGCCACCAAAGCTGTGGAGCAGGTTTCCAGTGGCTGGCCAAGTAACCGGCCCACCCCCTCACCAGGGCGGGCAGCAGCCTGCTTCCCCCACCCTGGCACCCGGTGGATTGCTGAGGCCTGTGTCACCCTCTTGGGAGGTGGCCAGGGCCCTCATCTGAGGAAGGCCCTACCACTGCCAAGAAAATGAGAAAAAGAGGTAAAAAAAAAAAAAAAGAAAAGAAAAAAAGGCTGCAGCAAAACCGGGAACCTGGGTGCGGGTCAGCCCCAGTCTCCCTCCTGGCTGGTTACTAAATATTTTCCTAACATCCTGTCTAGGACTTGCTGGCCCTAAGGCTGGGCACCCCTGCCTCCTCCTCCTTTAGGGGCAGAGAACAAAGGCCAGCAGAGAGGAGGAGGGGGAGTGGGAGGAGGAGGAGGAGATGAGGTCCCCACCCTCCACAATGGGGTCATGAAGGCGGAAGGAGTGTCATCAATGTGGGCTCCCCTCCTCAAGCAGAAATGTAAAAAAGGAGAAACTAGCTTTGGGGAAACCACAGTGGCTGGGTGTGTGTGTGTGTGTGTGTGTGCTCCATTGCAAGGCATACAGGGCTAAGGAAGCAGGTCTTGGGTCTGAGCCCTGTGCCAAGGTCACCCCAGAGGCAGGCTTGTGAAAGCTTCATCCCCTCCCCCACCATGGCAGCGACCGTGGGAGAGAAAGCCCTCAAGGTCAGGTGGTGAGTGCTAGGGGCCAGAAAGGAAGCAGAGTGACCAGGCCAGGCTGGCACCAAGGCGAGGTGGAGGCTCCTCCCCTCACCCACAGGCCTTCTGGGTGTACAAACACTCCCCAGGTTCTCTATAGAGTGGTGAAGAAATGCCCTGTCAACTGGGGCTTCCCCCTTAGATTAAGAAGGGGCTGGTGCTGTGGTCCTTACCTGAGTCTCCGTCAAACTCTCAAGGGCTTGCATCACAGACTGCTCCGGCCTGGAGGCCTGAGACTACAAAGAGGGAGGCGGAGAAGGCAACCTGAGTGCAGGTTCCCAGCCCTGGGCAAGAGCTTCAGGGTGGGGGGACCCTGCTTGCTGGAGTGGGCTGCCCTTACAGGGGAGGGAGCTCCACACAGTGTGTGAGGGTGGCTAGGAAGAGGGAACTGCCTGCCTGTGTCTGGGAGTCTGGGTGCACCACCCCACAGCCATTTACCATCAAGCCCGCTTCCACAGTGGGCACCAAGGTCAGTTTGCTGCCATCACCCACGCCGAGCTCCTGCAGCTTCCCCGAACTGAGCCGGCTAGGGGGAGGAAGGAAGAGGATGAGACTCTGAAGACAACACAGGGACACGGAAGCGGAGGCCGTGGGGGAGGGCTGTGCTTATGAGGGGAGAAGAGAGAAGTCACTCCCACCCCCACCCCTTCCTGGGTTCCAGATCGGGGCCCCCCATCGTGTGAAGTCTGTCTGGCTCTGGGAGCCCCTATCCTGGCGGTTCAGCCCATCTCTTCCCTGAGAACCCCAAGTTCAGACTCTGATATTTCCTTTGTATCTCAACGAGACATTTTGTCATCTTCTGGGGCCCAGTGTGCTCTGTGCTCTTTGCCACCCTCCTCTGTCCCCACAAAAGCAGCTCCGGTCTGCAATCTCCCAATACTAACCTAGGCTCCTCTCTGTGGACGCTGCCGAAGGGCTTATTTATGTCCGAAAAGAGGCCTTCAGGGGCTGCGCTGGCCAGGCTACCCCTCCTCCTTCCCTCCCACCCTGGCGCTGGCCGCCGCCGCTCAGACAAAGGAGACCCTCCCCCTTCTGCCCCTCCCCCACCGGGGCTCCTCCGCTGGGGATGGACATTGCGTGTCCCAGGAGGCCCGCGGGCGGGGCGGGGGAGGCTCCCCGGCCCGAAGGCGAATTAAATACTAGGGGGGAGGAGGAGGCTGCCTGGAGCGACGATGAGAACAAAGGGGGGGAGAAAGACGCAAGGGGGGGAGAAAGCCAGACGCAGGGGACCGCCGAGCAGATGCGGAAGCGGCAAGGACGCAGGCAGAAAGGGGGCGATTAATGCCCCCACTCCCGCAGCCGGAACCCCGCGCAGCCCTGGAATTCCTGCTTAACCTCAAAGGGGAACGCTTAAATCCGGCCCGGGACGCCCTCGCAGCCGCCTTTGTGAGGCGACCCCCTGAGCGGGGGAGGGGGCCCGAGGCAGGCAAGGCCGAGAAGAGGGCGCCCGAGAGCGCGCGACGCGCCCCCGCCCCCCGTCTGGCTACCCTCTGCCTACCCTACGCCGCGCGTTCTTTGTTCCCGCCCGGGGGCCGCGAGGGCCGGGGGCAGCGCGCGGTACCTACGTGTCTTTGTGAAGCAGGGCTAGACGCTCTTTGGGCACTTTGAGGCGTTGCGACAGGCGCCTGCGCAGCCCCTCCACCGTTTCATCGGGTGGCACCGACAAGTCGTAGCGGGTGCCGGTCGTGCTGTGGATGGCCAGGCTCATGGGTGCCGCCTCGGCCGCTGGGTCCAGCTCGCAGGCGCTGCTGGGGGCCCCGCGCCGGCAGCTCCGGGCGCCGCCGGGCTGCGGCTCCATCCCCCGCGCGCGAGAGGGACCTGGAATTCGCGGTGCGGCACCAATCCCCACCAAGCCTCCGGGGCAGGGGCCAGGAGGTCCCCCGAGCAGGGGTCCGCGATGCACTTGGGGCCAGGAGGCAGCACCTGTCCTCTTCGAGAACGTCCCAGTAGTAGAAAGCGAACCAAAAATCAAAAATTCGAGTGGCGCTCCGGGGTCGCGTCAGCTCTTTGGGGCACCTTCCGGAGGTGGGGACGGCACTCGCGGCTCCTTTAAAGGGCAGCTGGCGAGACGGAGTCGCCGGGCGGAGGAGGGTCCCAGGGAGGGGGCGCCCTTCGGTGGGTCCCGTTTGGTGTTGTCTGCGGCTGGGGTAGCGCTTCCTCGCGCGTCCCCTCCCTTAGCAACAGTCACAGCCGTCTCCGCCGCCGCTGAGGATCTGGGGGTGAAAGTAACAAGAAAAAAAGTTATAATGTATCAACGTTCCAAGGGGCGGGGCCGCCGCCCCCTCCCATTCACTACTTACTCCGCCGGCCTAGAACCGACCAATCGGCGCACCCTGAACGCCCAGTCGGCCGCGCTTCCTGGCCAATGGAAATTGCCGCGGCGCGGCCCCACGTGGCAGCAAGGCCCACCCTTTCGTCCCGCCCCGGCGCCTGGGCGACCAAGGGGAGCGAGGCGGAGGCGGGGCTGGCGCCGCTCCGTGCCCGCCCCCGCGCCCCCGCCCCCGCCGCAAGCCATTCATAAGGGCCGGGAGCCCCAAACAAAGGGCGGGTGGGCCCGTAGGGGCGCGGGACACCGGTTTGAGGACCGAGCGTCTCCTCCGCGTAGCCCCAGGGGAGTGGGCTTGGTGTGGGGAGGAGCCGCAGGCCATTGTTTTCAGCGTCGGGAGGAGCAGGAAGTGGAGGGGGCTCTCCATCGCGTTCGTCTGTCCCTGAAGCAGCGGCCAGGGAAAAAAGGGAGCGTGAATCCCGAGCCTCATGGCCGGGGTCCTAGGCCCGGTGGCTCACGGAGATGGTTTAGCGTGCCGGGTCTCCCGGTTGGTGGGCGTGTGGCCGAAGGCTGGGTGATGATGTGGCAGGGACGAATGGTGCCGGGAGGGCCCCTCTCAGTCTTATGCCACCTCGAGTTCCAGTCCCCGCCCCTCATTCCCCGGGCAGGGCCAGTTTCCCGAGACGCGCCCGCCCGAGCCGTGACGCGGCGTCCCGGGCTGCGCCCGCGCGCACCGCCGGGGGCTGCGGTGAGTCAGCAGCGTCGGCGCGCCCTCTGCCGGCCCCACCCGGGAGCGCTGTCGGAGTACCGAGGGAGGGGGCGCCGCAATGCCCGGGGCAGGGGACAGGGAAGGAGGGCGACGAGACTACTGGCAGGCGGGAACCACAAAATGGACAGAAGACTCTGTGTCCGGAGACTGGGACTGCGACCGCCTGGCCTGGGAAACTAAGGCTGGACTGGCAACTAGTTCAAGGTCACTCGTGAGGAAGGGGGAGTGCCCCGTGGGGGCGGGGCGCGGGCTGAGGTCTGGCCAGGGCGGTGCTGGCTACACAGAGCCCCTCCCACCCTACGCCCTTCCTTGGTGGGCCTCCCAGGGTCTGAGGCAGCCGGATCCCTGCCTGCCCCAAGAACAAAGGAAAGTGGGGGTACCTTTCTCAGACAGGAGGGTCCCACTCTCCACTCACCGGGCGCAGCCAGTCCTACGTCCCAACAGTCCTGAAAGTACCCCTTCCAAATACCAGTGCGTAGTGGCCGAGTCAGTCTGGGGCCGAGCAGGCGGCCCCTGAGCCTTTATCCGCGGCGCCTTCCCTCGGGGTGGAGTTTGGGCGGGCAGGGGGCGGGGGGGGGCTGGGCGGGCGGTGACGCAGCTGGCCCCCGCCCCTGCCTGCCGGTCAGGACCCGGGGGCTAAATAGGGCATAGGCAACCGGGCCCCCAAGCTTCGCCCATTAAATAGGAGAGCCCCTTGAATGCCACTGAGCTTGAGTCTCCTTGTACTGGGATGCATCCAAAACCGGCCACCCGCGCCCTGCCCCACCCCCTTTCCCGATGCCCCAGGCTCGGGGTTACCGTGTGGGGGGACAGGAAGGGGGGCCTGAGTCAGTGGCCACCGGCCAGGAAAACAGGCCAGAGTCACCTCCGTGGAGTGGGGGTGCCCAAGCCAGCTACCCGGCAGCCTGACCACCTGCATCCTTTAAACTGTGACCTCAGAGGGCGTTTATGGAGCGATTTGGCAGTGCCAGACCCGGCTTGTGCCCTGCCAGTTACCAGTTGGGTACGCTGTGTCAGCAGGAAGTAATTGGCCTGAGCCTCAGTTTCTCCAGAGCTGGAGAGTAGAATGAGAGACCTACACAGGGCTCACTCTAGGACAATTGCTCTATTAATGAATGCACATATGCTAGTATCCAGCCTTTGGAGTGGTCATAATCACCTGCTGTATAGATGAAGAAACTGAGGCCACCAGGCCAATGATGAACAGGGTACCTCTCCCAGTGGGTCACACTGGGTGGATGGCTTCCCAGGGTGGGGATGAGGCCCTCTGTCCACCTGCTGTCTCTGCCCAGAGGAGGACTCCAGGCTCTACCCCAGCATCTCCTGTCCAGGTAAGAAACTTACCTGGTTTCTTCCTTTGTCTGGTCTGACCACCTCCAACCCCACTCTCACCCTGAGGCACCCCTCCCAAGGCAGTGCTCCTTTCCAGGTCTCCATCCTGCTCCCATCCAAGGGTCCCTGCAACCTCTTGCCCCCACCTTGAGACAGGTGCACTGAGGCACTCTCAACCTAGCAGGGAGAGGCTAAAAGACTCAAAAGAGGGTCACAGGAGGTGGGGTTTGATGGATGAATGAGTTTGTCATAGAGGATGGTTCTCCAGAAAATGGAAACAGCTTGCATACTCAGCTCTGGGAGCTCAAGTGAGAAACTTCAGGTGGAGGGCAAAGACCATTTGTAGGTTGTGGGGTAATGATGAGGGGCCCCAGGAGGGACCTGCTGGGCTGGTTTTGTTCTGCTTTTGGAGGAAGCTGTAGGCTTTGGGACCAAGGGCCTTCGGTGTTTGAGAGCACCCTGGGTAGGGCAGAGGGCCTCCTTGACTATGTTGTGCCCATCTGGCCCTCCTCTCCTCTGGGCAGGTCGCATTAGTCTGAGAGTTACCGTTGGAGTGGGCAGGGCTCTGCATCCTGGAACCATAACCTCAGGCCAGTTCACAGTAGGATAATTGAGGTAGTCGGGACATGATGGACACTGGGGCGAGGGGAGGTTACCCTGTGTGTGACTGTGGGCCTTTGGGTACAAGATACCCTGGGCCAGTCAGAATTAATAAACATGCTGAGACATGAGTTTTTCCTTACATGGAACATCCACATGGTCGAGTGGTCTGTTCCCAGGTGTGAGCAGGAACCAAGAGACACTGAGCAGACCTTCCCAGCCTAGGAACAAACCTCTGTGGTCTGTCCTGTTCCAGTAAGTACAGGGCCTGCCTTCAGGAAAGTGTTGTGACCTCTTGGCTCATGAGCCCCTACCCCAGGATGCCCCTGGTAAGCACTGGCTGTTCCTGCAAGATGACATCAGGACTCACACTTCCCCAGAGGGTGGGAACGGATCTCCAGTGTGAGGTGTGCTGGCCCAAGCCAGGGACAGGCACTCAGTGCTGGGCTTCTTCTGCTGGGATTCTGCCAAGCACCAGCTGTGCCCTGGGTCTTATTTATAGGGCTTCAGAGCCTAGCCAGGAACTGGAGGACTGGGCTCAGAGCCAGGGGATAGGGTTCAGGGAGGGAAATTGCACAGTTACTCTATGGCTGGTACAGCCTTCCCTGGGCTGGGTACCTGGAGAAGTAGGAGGCTGGCCACTTACTTGTCCCTGAGAACCAAGGGGAAGGGCTCTGATAGGAGGCCTGACAGTCACCTGATCTGCTGCCCTCCTCTCCAACTGGGAACATGCCTGGAGGCTCCTGCACACACTCAGATCTCACATCCATGACCCATGTACAAACATAGGGTGTCACTCACATGGGACCATGACACAAGCATTAGCTGCCTATCTGTACTGACAGACTCCAGCTGGACTCCCTGTCAATGTCCTGGCCCCAGTGACAAAAGCAGGCATAGAATGACTCTTCACATACTCACATCCCAGATATCCCCACCCTAACCCACCTTGACAGCCCTGAAGGAAAGTGGGGGGGGGGGGTAAAGGAGGGGGTCAAAGAGAACCCTGCCCCCACAGCCCCTTGACATTACCCTCACCACTCAGGGCTGGTGCCAGAGCTACCTCCAGCGTTTCTGAAAGAAGGTGGGGCAATGGCAGGGAACCACCCCCTTGCAGGACTTCTCTGCCCATCTGGCCCCACCCCAAGACCTGTGTGCCCACAGAGGTGCCCACACCACAGGGGATTAGGCACCTGGCCAGGTGAGGCCACCCACAGGCTAGGCGTGCATAGGGAGGGTGGCCTGCCTTTTCCCAGGGCTGGTGGGGAGGGGCCAGGGTTACAGAGAGCTTGACACTGCTGCCTGGTCACAGCACAACTGGAGACCAGGAAGCCACACAGGTACCTCTTGGGGAGATTAGTACTCTGTCCACTGCCCTCCTGGCTGCATTCCTCTAGAGCTGCCCCATATATCACTTGTCACTTTCAAGAACCCTCCTATCCCAGAGGACCTCTTGGGCCAAGGCACTTAGTCCCTGTTTCATAATGGAAACAGAGAACCTGGGGAGAGGCCCAAGAGGGTCTCACTACCCCAAGCAGGAATGACAAAGCACTGTATACAAGTCAGGATTGCTGGTCTTTAATTGGGGGCAAAAGCTAAGGGCAGGCCATCTGTGGAGGTGGCTTGGAGCAGAGATTCTAGTGGCAGACTCCGTAGGGGTGATGTGCAGACCATCAGGGTCGGAGGTGACATACCCTCAGTTCCCAGACCTGGCAAAGCTGGTGAGGGGTTGTTTCCCCCAGATTCTCCAGCACAAAAAGACAGGCCCTGCGGGCCCCAGGCAGAATGCTGAGTAGTGCTGCCCCCTAGTGGACTCCATGGCTTCCCTAAGAAGACTGGGGTTTGCTGGCTCCTGCTAGACAGCTTGGGACCCCTGCCTCAGATATCCCCTCTCAGCTCAAGCCTTGGTCTCCCTGGTGACAAGGGGCACGCACCACCTGCCTACTCCAGGGCCTTCACCAGGGCCTCGTTGGCCTCAATGCGAATCAGGATCTCTGCCCTTGTGGCTTCGTCTGCTGCCCCTGACAACTCCGTCTGCGCCTTCTCCAAGTTCGCCTTGGCTGCCTGTTGGGAGTGGGTGAGGGGTGAGGACAGAGCAGAGACCCCAGCCCAGGATCTGCCTTTCCTCTGGGCTCCCTCCCCAGTAGCCAGAGAACTCTTAGACAGTTCTCACCTGCTCTGAGCCTCAATTTCCCCTCCAACACTCACCCCTAGGTCCAGCATGTCCAGTGTCACTGCCTCTTCAGCCAATAACTGCACTGAGGAGTCGGCATTCACTGTGACAGAGCCACTGCTCACTGTGGGAGGGAAAGCATGAGACCTCACACACAATCAAGTCTACATCCTGTACATACTACCAGTCATGACCAAGGGTGATCCCCAAAGGACTGATCCTAGGACCCAAACAGGGGGAGATGTCTGTAGAAAAAGAACAAGACACCCCAAGAGAAGATGAAAGGCAGGAGGAGGCCCAAGGACATACATGGGACAAGGGGACCACGAGAGGCCTCTACTGGGGGAAAGCACTCCCCATTCAACCTATCAGCCCCGAAGCTGAGCTAGGATCAGAGGCTCAAATCTACCTCCACCACTACTGACAACTGGCACTGGAGAAAAGCTCCTCTTTTTTTTTTTTTTTGCAGTTTTTGGCTGGGGGTGGGTTTGAACCTGCCACCTCCAGCATATGGGGCCAGCGCCCTACTCCTTGAGTCACAGGTACCACCCGAGAAAAGCTTTCTTAAAATCAGTTTCTGCCCCTTTTTTACCAAAATTCACTGTCCCTCTCCTGCATACTTTATTTTTAGGTTTGCCTTTTGGATTTTTTCTTTTTTTTAGACAAAATCTCACTATATGGCCCTGGGTAGAGTGCCATGGCATCACAGCTTACAGCAACCTCAAACTCTTGGGCTTAAGCGATTCTCTTGCCTCAGCCTCCCAAATAGCTGGGA